TTTTGAGGATCTGTCAACTTTAGGTCAAATTTTGAAAAGCAAAACCTACAGATTTATCCACCTGTTTATTAATGCATCAAAACTAATACCACCATATCACTAATACCACACTTGTAAATCTGCTTTTCTCTCCAAAATCTTATGAAATAAATGTTCTGACATCACCTTATAAATTTTACAGCAAAAAAAAAAAAAAAAAGATCTTATCAATGTAACAGTGACTCAGATATTGCAGCAATGATTTGAAATTATGTTGGGTAATCTCATATTATGCTATGTGGTCTGTGCATGCTCCGGTTAATGAATATTAACTCACTCTGGCATGCAGGTTGCGTAAAATGGAAACTGTTACTGATAGCTGGACTAAAACTCTGATCAATTAATACTATGTGACTATTTTGAAGCATTTATAGAGGAGTGATTTTTCTTAGAGGGTCAGCTGATGACAGAAAAAGAAGTAAACTTAGTAAATTTCACTCCTTTGATGCCAATACATGTGGACAATTCAGAACAGTAGTGCTTCCAATGTGACTGACATACTTCAAAGATATGACAGGAATGTATGATAACAAATATTCCTCTCAGTTACACCAACATAAGACCTTTTTCAAAATGCCAGCACACATGGCAGCATAGGAAATAATGCAACTACACTGGGAGAACTACTACTATTTTTTTTGTCTATAATCAGATAGATCAACATCATATATTCATGCCGTAATGTTAGTTTTTTTTAACTTAATGAGGATTTTTCAAATTCCCATTAAGTAAAAAAAAATGTGATGTATAAATGGAGGTAATAGTCATTTTATTTTATTTTATTTTATATATGACTGAGAATGGTAGTCCTAAAAAAAGGGGGAAAAATTGGATCTTAAAGATAAAAACTGTCAATGGCCAGGCATTTCTAAGGAAAATGTATGTGTCCTTTCCAGTTTTCCCCCCCTATTTGCATCCATGTTTGTAGAGCCATCCGTTCCATGTCATACCGCTGATGATCTTTTCCGCTTTGCTGGCTAAACACCACACCAGGCGATGGAGAGCGAGTGTTCAGAAGTGCAGAACAGAGACACTGATGGGACCAGATTAATTAACACACAAACACAGAGACACAAACACATATAGAAGTTTAGATGTTTTCTTGATGCTACACACGACTGGACATCTCCCCACCCTGTTCAGGCTCTGGGTTATTTTTGAAGTCAGTCAACCATCATCTTAATCTGGTCTCTTCATTTCGCCCGGTGCTTCGGAGAGGAAAGCTGTGTGGGAGCCGTGTGCGCATATGAAATTGCTTACATTATATGCTGCAATGTTTTTCCAATGGGCTGGAACATATTAAGCTGAAAATGAATAGCGGGTCTTCTCGACACCATGTTGCGTGGTGCCTAAGCCTTCACTTCCTCTTCTTTGGGTGCTCCATCATGACGACAGCTGTCACTTTTATTGCGTGTGTATGTGTCTGCCTGTGTGTATGTACTGTGTTTGGACCATATGCTTGAGACTATCTGTATTTATGCCAGTGTTCCTGGCTGTCGTGTGCGACGGCCCTCTATAAAAGGTCATGTGTTGAGACAAAAGATCACATCTTTTTGACTCCTGCTGGAAGAGAAGTCATGCACATCTATTTGTTTTATTACATTCATACAAATCAAGAAGATGCATAAATGATGCTCATACAGCTGATTATCATAAATATGACATCTTTTATATAGCCCAGAAGGTGAAGTGTGTGTGTCCAAGTCGGCGTGTTCCTGTGCATATGTGTGTCCGTGTGCATGCTTGCATATAAATGTGCATGTGTGTCTGCACGCGTGTGTGTCAGACGGTGGCTCATTGGTATGCTGAGTGTCTCCCGTTCCCCTGTGGTGCTGGGTGGGATAGGAAGCATCTGTCACCTCTGCAGAGATCCAGTATGCTGCCGACTTAACCCTTAAAGTGCTGCATCACCTGAGGGGTGCTAAAAGAGAGAGAGAGAGAGAGAAAGTGAGAGAGAGCGAGAGAGAGAGAGAGAAAGTGAGAGAGAGAGTGCTATCTTTCCATTGGTAGACTGAGCCAGTGTGGGAGGGTCTACTGTCAGGATTTTTGGCTGTATTAATATATTTATGGGTGGAGCAGATTGAGGATTATGACCTGTCCCAGCTGGAGGTGGAGCCTTGTTGCCGCAGCAACCAAACACCTTGACAAGCAATTAAATGGTAAAGAATATTGCTGACAAACTGCTCTCTCTCCTTTGCTTTGTTTCTTTGCCTTTATTCATCTTTTTTTTCATGTGCACTGGTTTTTGTTGAGATAAAAAATCTAAAACATAACAGCGAAATAAGACTACCAATACATCACAAGTTTTAGGTTCTTCTTGTGGGCTTTGCTGAACACCAGGTTTGCATCAAGGATATGCTTTATGCCCAGACTCTAAAAGAATGTGCAAAAACACTACAGATAAAGAGCAAGTCCTAAAATCATTAGATGTCCCTTGCAATAGTTGTTTGTCCAACTTTAAAATTGTTTCAAGTAGAGGCCACTAATAAATTGATAAAATGCAAATAAAAAAAACATCCAGTAAACTCGAAGTCTGCCCTAAAGTCTCCACATAGTGAGATATTGCCTTAACAACCTCTAAAGAAGGTGCCCAGGAGGTTTTCCGGTCAGAAAGTCAAACTTCTTCATTGACTATGGGGTTGTGATGCGTAAGAGCATTTGTTCAACTTGTTGACCTGTCTCTAAAGGTGCAGTGATGAATCCCACTTCAGCACCTTGTATGCTGGATCAAGATTCTCATGGATTACCTCAGAAATTACCTTTTATTACATCAGATTAAGCCCCAATCTGTCCATGCAACTCCCATTCAAGTCCAATATACCTCAGGAATGAGACACTGCGGTCTCTAAAGTTTTTAAGATCCTCGCTTGCATTAAAAATGGTGAATATAAATGCATTCCATCATGCTTTATCCCAGCTGGGGTCATAAGGGGTGCTGGTGCCTATCTTCAGCTGTCTACAGGAAAGAGTTTGGGTACACAGGGAAAACAAGCAACCATTCACACACAGAGTCACACCTAAGGAGAATCTAGAGAATCCATTTAAAGGAATAGTACACCCAAAACATGATTAGCCTTCATTTTCTACTCACCCCCATGCTGAACAACACTCTGGAGTACTTTTTTGATATCTCAAATGCATCTGGAGATCTGGGAGGCTTCTTGCTGTCTGCTGACATTCAAATAATGGAGGTCTATGGTGACCGAGACAGAAAGGTCCATAAAAGTCCAGAAAAAACGTGTCAATATTCCTCCATACTGCTCGTCCAATGTATTCCAAGTGTCCTGAGTGGGTAGCATCCAGAATTTACTCGAAACAAAGTCATTTAGAATGTTTTTAGAGCATAAACAGTAGTGTATAGGATTTCCTGAAAGCGCGCGCCGGCGCGTTCATGACGCTACGGAAGCCGGCAGACCAAACCAGATGAAAGTGCGCATTCAGCATCTGCTCTTCCAATAATGCAAGTGTAGAAGAAGAAATGTGCCGTTTACCTGTGCAAAGAAAGAAACAAAGAAAGAAAAATGTCTGAGGACTTCAGTGTTGAGGAAGAGCATGAGTTCTTTGCCGAGCTGAATGCGCTGGTTTGGTCTGCCGGCTTCCGTAGCGTCGTGATCGCGCACGTGCGCGCTTTCAGGAAATCCTATACACTACTGTTTAGGCTCTAAAAACATTCTAAATGACTTTGTTTCGAGTAAATTCTGGATGCTACCCACTCAACACTTGGAATACATTGGACGAGCAGTATGGAGGAATATTGACACGTTTTTTCTGGACTTTTATGGACCTTTCTGTCTCGGGCTCAATAGACCTCCATTATTTGAATGTCAGCAGACAGCAAGAAGCCTCCCAGATCTCCAGATGCATTTGAGATATCAAAAAAGTACTCCAGAGTGTTGTTCAGCATGGGTGTGAGTAGAAAATGAAGGCTAATCATGTTTTGGGTGTACTATTCCTTTAACCTCATGTTTTTGGGCTGTGGGAGGAAGCTGGAGCACCGGAGTGAGACCATGCAAGCTTCATGCAGAAAGACTTTGGGCCGGGAATCAAACCCAAAACGTTCTTGTTGCAAGGCAGCAGTGCTACCCACTGCCTCATTCTCCTCTCAACAACCACTGTTGCTTCTGTCAATGAGCCCATCCAACAGGATCAGGAACAATCTAAACCCAGGCCTCTCACTAATCAAACAGCTCTTTATAGTGGAGTCCAACTCCAACTGACATCGAGCCCAAATGTGTCCCAGTAATATCGAAAGTGTTCTTGTGTTGTTTCTACAAGCTGCCTCTCTGCTTCTTACTTCTGCAGCATCCCCTGAGAAAACCAGCCTTAAGTCTTTTCCAGATGCAGAAAGCAAAGTAGAGCTGACAGCCAAGTTTACAACCTATAAGAACTTTAATCACAGCCATCCTTCAGAAAAATATTTATTAAAGCTATGCTGTAACGGGGAACATGTATGTTGACAATATCTTCCCAACAAATGAGTAGTTCAACAAACAATTCTAAGATCAAAATCTTTTTAAATAACTCACAAATTAATTGAATAATATCACACAAAAAACTTGATGGCCGTGATGTGTTGACGTCCGTATGTTGCGCTCAATGGTATTTCTTAATTTTGCAGGCCAACCTGGCTCTGGTGTACCCACACTATGCTAAACAGAGCCGAGGTGATTTTGACTTGCCTGGCGAGACTTTTGACCCGGGTCTACAGCGTCAGTGAGCTGTTCCCACTGGCACTAAAAGCCGACCTTTTCCCGGGTTTAAAAGGGTTTTTGGGCCAGAAAGGGATAATAGACACACAATCCTGCACACTCTCACCTAAGACAAATTAGAGATGCAGATTAACCTACCTTTTTACTGACTGTGGGAGGAAGCCAAGGTACCTGGAGAGAAACCAGGCATTCATAGGGGAGGCATGCAAACTCCATTCAGAAAGGGGCCAGGAATCAAACCCAGGCCTTGAGCCACCATGTACCTAAAGAATCGGAATTGAAAAACATGAGCTAGCATAAGAGCAAGCAGCTGTTATTTAGTTAAAGTTAATTAAACTAGAGGTTAGCTAACTTGTTTGTTTTTTCTGTATAAACCTTTGTAATGCACAAAAAAGTTGATTTAGATGCACCGTTATTAATCAAATGTAATGAGTTACTTGCAACAGTCCTTTATTCTTTGTACTCTGAAAAAAATCTAATCACATGATCCGTCTTGCTTAATATTGCTATTGACATGATATGATGCAATTCAGCAATATGACATAAAATGTTTTCTCAGCATGATAAATAAACCGCTATTATCTTACATTCAGCCTGATATTTTATCATCAGTAGAGTTTGGAGCATCCACTTTTAGATTGTTTGCTCTAAAATCAAATACAAGTTAAATAAACCTGGCAAACTATAGTTCCTGTTCACTAAGAAATGTCAAGACGTTGAGATGCTTGTCTAAACATATTTTTTTTAAATGTCTGGTTTATAACTGTTTATCTTTAAAGTTTTTGCTTTATTCAGCATCTGGATAATGTTAAAAGAATAGAAAAAAAAATGATGTATTGAGTTTTTATTCCTACAAGTGCATGTGTGTGTGTGAGAGAGTGTGATTCTGTCCTTTGGGTGTCATTGACGTCCAGTATAAATCAGCCGGCTGTATGAGCGTCGAGCTGCAGTAAATTAGCTAGATTTTAATTGTGTCTGTAATAGATGACTATAATTAGTCAAGGCTCTTCTTCAACCTTTACTGCCCTGATATAATCATCTTCCATCCAAACTATACATCTTTTTCACATCTCCATCTCTCCATTCTTCATCCTCACATTGCCTGAAGGGACAGAGGAGATCTTCTCAAAGGGTTCCCCCGACCAGAGAAAGTCCCCCTCATCTATTTCAGGATTGTTTGAAACCACAAAAAGAGTTGAGTCATCTTCAATTCATATTTAGGTTTGTTAACCTTCTACACAGAAGTTTGCACATAAGATTTGGATTTAGGACTTTTTTTTATTTTTATATAACCAAAAAACAAGCCAATTTTCATTTTAACCTCCACGAAGGAGGTTATGTTATTAGGAGAGTTTGAGTGTGTCTTTGGCTGGGACCGAATGCTCACCCTAACCCCTAGATCCCTCAATCACTATATAGAGTAAGGACTATTTAGTGACTTTATAGTGAAATCAGTTAGCTTACTGTCTGGATAGATGATCACTACTTTTCACTCTCAATTGGTCACGTGACTCTGCCTTCCCGAATGGTGCCTGCGCTATCTTTGTTATCTGCAGTTATCTCCTTTACTGACAGTCGGCCGCTGTGACAGCAAATCCCATAATGCTTTGCGAGGGGAGCTCTCCTCGTTAAGCATTCCAGGATATATCCGATCGTCTAGTGACCATGGGTGATCACTATTTTTCAAGGTGCATTGTGGGAAATTTCTAGTCCACTACTTTTTAATCCACTTGACGTTCAGACACTCATTTAAAATGGCGTAAGCACCATATAGTGCCCTATATAGTGATTAGGGTGGATATTTAGACACTGCCTTTGTTTGTTTTTCTGTCTGTCTGTCTGTCTGTCTGTCTGTCTGTGTACACTCAAAAAAAGGGATTCAAGCCCCTCTTTGAGGTGACACCATTTCTTACCATTCAAAATACCAAAAGTAATTGGTTTAATAATGATTTTGTAATATTTAATTGATGTAACACAATATGTATGAACATTTTATGGGTCATGCAATGTAACCTAAAATTCTTGAGTTCACTATAAGATAGAAAACTTTTAACCAGTCTGACTTAATGATCTGAATGAATTGTCTCTGTAAAGTGCCTTGAGATGAAATGGCGTTATATAAATTGAAATGTAATTGAATTATAAGGCAGCCTTGTGAACTTATAAGTAAAGTCTTTCAGAATAATTTTATTGTAAATTTGGTGTATGTAAACATTTCCTTTTAAATTATTATATATTTTTTAATGTGTTGAACAGAATCAATAAAATGATACCATGCAGATATACAGGTGCTGGTCATAAAATTAGAATATCATGAAAAAGTAGATTGATTTCAGTAATTCCATTTAAAAAGTGAAACTTGTATATTATATTCATACATTACATACAAACTCATATATTTCAGATGTTTATTTTGTTTAATTTTGATGATTACAAATGACAACAAATGAAAATCTCAAATTCATCATATCAGAAAATTAGAATATTGTGAAAAGGTTCAAAATTGATGGCCCCTGGTGCCACACTCTAATCAGCTAATTAACTCAAACCACCTGCAAAAGCCTTTAAATGGTCTTTCAGTCTAGTTCTATAGGCTACACAATCATGGGGAAGACTGCTGACTTGACAGTTGTCCAAAAGACGACCATCGACACCTTGCACAAGGAGGGCAAGACACAAAAGGTCATCGCTAAAGAGGCTGGCTGTTCACAGAGCTCAGTTTCCAAGCACATTAATAGAGAGGCGAAGGGAAGGAAAAGATGTGGTCGAAAAAAGTGTACAAGCAAGAGAGATAACCGCACCCTGGAGAGGATTGTGAAACAAAACCCCTTCAAAAATGTGGGGGAGATTCACAAAGAGTGGACTGCAGCTGGAGTGAGTGCTTCAAGAACCACCACACACAGACGTATGAAAGACATGGGTTTCTGCTGTCGCATTCCTTGTGTCAAGCCACTCTTGAACCACAGACAGCGTCAGAAGCGTCTAAAGAGAAACAGGACTGGACTGCTGGTGAGTGGTCCAAAGTCATGTTCTCTGATGAAAGTAAATTTTGCATTTCCTTTGGAAATCAAGGTCCCAGAGTCTGGAGGAAAAGAAGAGAGGCACTTCATCCACGTTGCTTGAAGTCCAGTGTAAAGTTTCCACAGTCAGTGATGGTTTGGGGTGCCATGTCATCTGCTGGTGTTGGTCCATTGTGTTTTCTGAGGTCCACGGTCAACGCAGCCACATACCAGGAAGTTTTAGAGCACTTCATGCTTCCTGCAGCTGACCAACTTTTTGGAGATGCAGATTTCATTTTCCAACAGGACTTGGCACCTGCACACAGTGCCAAAGCTACCAGTACCTGGTTGAAGGACCATGGTATCCCTGTTCTTAATTGGCCAGCAAACTCTCCTGACCTTAACCCCATAGAAAATCTATGGGGTATTGTGAAGAAGAAGATGCAATACACCAGACCCAACAATTCAGAAGAGCTAAAAGCCACTATTAGAGCAACCTGGGCTATCATAACACCTGAGCAGTGCCACAGACTGATCGACTCCATGCCACGCCGCATTGCTGCAGTAATACAGGCCAAAGGAGGCCCAACTAAATACTGAGTGCTGTACATGCTCATACTTTTCATGTTCATACTTTTCAGTTGGCCAACATTTCTATAAATCCTTTGTTTTTATTGGTCTTCAGTAATATTCTAATTTTCTGATATGATGAATTTGAGATTTTCATTTGTTGTCATTTGTAATCATCAAAATTAAACAAAATAAACATCTGAAATATATGAGTTTGTATGTAATGTATGAATATAATATACAAGTTTCACTTTTTAAATGGAATTACTGAAATCAATCTACTTTTTCATGATATTCTAATTTTATGACCAGCACCTGTATGTGGATTTGTTCAGCTAGCAAAAGTTCATTTTTTTCAGAGTCATTTTTATGAGTGTACAGGATAACTTAAGACAGATTTTAATGACATTTTTACCAAAGGTACAAATTTGCAAGGAACAATCCCTTAAATTTTGGTGATGATCCAGATCAACATCTGGATCCAGGATTTTTTTTTTTTTAAGATTCTGTGCATACAGGTATTAACTTATGGTGGAAGTCGAAATATGTAGGGGGAAAGGAGCTTCTTCGCAGAGGTCTGCACTCTTTGAGCATTTTCTAGATTTTAATGTAATTCGGAGATATATGTTAATTTTCTGAAATAAGAAATGTTTGACTCAATCTGACAACAGAGAATTGTTTTTATTCTCCTATCTTACCTCTTACAAAAAAGTAGTATTTGTTATAAAATTGTATTTCATCTTTAAAAATGTTGATTCTACACAGAATGTAACACATGTTATTTAGTAAGTTATTGACCTTGACTATATCAGCTAGCTACACTGAAAATAACCAACTCATAAGATTTACTTAAAAATATATTGTAAGTATTTGCAAACAAATGATTTAAGTAAAATTTTATGCTGTAATATAGTGTGTGGGATTGCATTCGAGTCAATGAGTCGATGCAATCAACTGGTTTTCCTTAGATAGAAAACTTTTGATCAATTTGACTGTATTATCTGGTTGAACTGTAAAGTGCCTTGAGATGACATGTGTTGTGAATTGGCGCTATAGAAATAAACTGAACTGAAATTGAATTGAATTGAATATCAAGCAGCAAAACACTCATTTGCCAGTATCAAGTGAATTTACTTTCCATAAGTTGCAGTTGTGAAGATATTAAGTAACATTTACTTAATTACATCCAAGTTGTAACTTAGATTTATTTAAACAAATTAAGTAAAGAGTACTTGTTTTTCATAGGCACAAACAGCGTTTTACAAAAAAATTCAAGGCAATAGAGAGACAAACAACCATGCATGCACACCTAAGGAAATTTAGAGAAGCCAATTAACAGTCATGTTTTTGGACTGTGGGAGAAAGCCAGAGTACCCAGAGAGAACCCATGCATGCACAGGGAGAAGATGCAAACTGCATGCAGAAAGACCCCAGGCCAGGAATTGAATCCAGAAACTTCTGGCTGCAAAGCAGCAGTGCTATCTACTCCACCCCTGAGCAGCCCTCTAAGTTGAATCGTACTTTTTAAATATCCAATAAAAAAAGTTTACCACCCTCTGAAACTGATATTTTCGACATTTGTTGCAGAAACATATTCATATGTAAGATCAAAAATATTTAACTTACACAAACATCCTCAAAACAACTTAGGGTGAGGGTCAGAACAGAAACAGCCACTTAAGCTTTGAGAAGGGGCATAAAGATTATGTATTCCTCTATTTAAATGGAAAAAGTAAGTGCAAATATGACATTAATAGTAATAGTGCATTATGTTGTACCGCATCGGAATTTGTACCGAAAAAAAGATAAGGTTGGTACGACTTGAAAACAACAAATACACAGTATTACGTATACACCACATCCACCACAGATCTGGTAATATAGTCACTACTCAAATATGCAATAAAAATCTTACAAACCTACACACTGGAACAGTGCAATTTCCACATTTAAGCCAGTCGTCCAGACTAGTGGACTTTTAAGAATGCAATTACAACATTCATGAAACAAAATCAATGCAATAAAAAAATGTACTGCAAAAACTATTTAACAATTAAAATCTCTACTAGATATTCGAATAAAGGTATCTGTTATTTTTTGCGAAATACCATATACCTTATTCGGCAAAAATTTTAAAAGATTCATGACAGGCAACCTTCCACTAAGATTAACTGGAGCCCATTGCTTATTCTTGGCATTTGATGCCACGTTTTCCTACACTTCGATGATAAAGCCATGAATGCATTTAGGAAATCAATTTCAACTTCAGGGTGTTTACTTTTTGGGACAATTTAAATCCATCCAACTCCAGGAAAAGTTTTTGGAAGACTTCAAAAGTGTAGCGCAAAGTGGGAGGGTATGCCAAGTTCAGGGCATACAGTATATCAGTCCCATGAGCAGCGTGCAAGCTTTTGCAGTACTGTTGCACCCTGCCAAAATAACTGTCATCGGGACTACCTCTTGCTCTTTGGGTGATTCTATAACGTCTGGACTCCGAGCAAAATCATTTCTGCTGTGAGCTACAGTGCGTATGCACCATGTGTGCGTTTCAAAACGGTACATTTTTAGAGTAAAGTTTATGTAGTATTTTTAGGTTTATGTACAAATGACTGTACTATTAAACAGTTATATAGTATAAGGAAGTCTAAGTAAAACGTACTCTTTCCCCAAAATTCATGTATTACATTAAAAAAAGGTTTCCTTTTACTTCAGAAACTCTAGTTTTTATTGAAGCTTGAAAATACAGAGAAGAAATTATGATGAATACTCTAAAAGAGGTTACTGCACCAGAAAGTCACTTTTTTCAGTGTATGCCGCTAATGCTAGACAATAATGACAGGTCATAATGGTACATGCAGTCATACCATAATCTATAGGTGCGACCATGGCATTGTTTTGCAAGTCTCAGGTAAATCTTTATCCTCCTGTCACACGCTAGAACTCTAAAAATTTTAGGTTATAAAGTTTTAACACGTAAGGTAGGTATCTGCACAAAGAAATGTAAGTATTTAAGAGAAAACTAGCTAAAGCCAGAAGAGCACTATCGGCATTGTACTACTAAGGCAAATCAGTGAATGGTGCAGAGATGATCCCACAGAGGTGAAGAGTTTGGATGGAGAGGGAAAAAGAGCAGGTTGTAAAGCATAAAAGCAGAAGAAAGAAAATTGGTGTTTATCTGTAGCACTAACAGAGGAGCTAAAAGGTTCTGGTTTAAAATCCACAATAAAATGAGCAACTTCTGAAACATAGATTTTAAACACAATCCCAACTTTAAAGTCCTCCGTTTTTCTCTTTTTTGTTTAGGTCAGCACATGCCTGCAAAGTAGGGAAAGGTCTCTGTTGAATCAAATGTGCAAACACAGCAGTCTTTAGTAGGTTTAGTGTTTAGGGGTATCAAGATGGATCCACTAAAAGTGAACAGCTTCAAACCTCCCTAATCTGGGTGCAGGTTTTAAATGTTGTCGGTTTTGTGGCCGCTTTGACTCCATAGGGCCTGCTAATCAAAAGAAATGTTGTCCCATTGACCCATTTAGCTCATTGTGACGTATTTCGTTTAGCTGAGCATAGCTGGAGGGATAATGATTCCCCTCAAACACTTTAACAACCGTATCTAGCAAATGTTGTTATCTTTTTAAAAAACAAAATACAGCTGTGGAAATTTTTATTTTATCTGACTATGTAGTGTAACGTTATTTAATACTTAGACAAACTTTATTGTCATTTTGTGTATACAGAGTGTATACAAAAACAAAATTCAACAGCGAATGAGTAGCTTTCAACAGTGAAATGAACATTTCCATTTATAAAGTGCAGCAACGAACAGAGTGTTAACAGTGTGGGCGAAAAGGAAAACCAATTTAAAGACATGGTGCAAAAGTCATTGATATGGAAAGGTTCAGTGCAGTGCAAAATAAACAAATATGGTGTGAAATGCAGGAAACATTGGGTTGTATTTAAAGGGATTATGAAAAAAATCACCCATGTAGTGCAAATATGATGTTTACAAGTATGATGCAGTGTTGTGATTAGAGTCTTCATTAGAGTTTAAAAAGCTCAACAGTGTTATGGGAGTGGGGAAAAGGCTGTTGCAGAACCTGCTGGTCCTGTAGCAAATGCTGTGAAGGTTCTTCCCAGAAACTAGCAGGGAGAACAGTCCATGTGAGGGCTCGCTGATGATGATTACTTTCTGGGGGAAGGATATTTAGTTAGAGAAATTAACTTTATATGACAGAATCAGCGCCATCGACCCATACCCACCAACTGCATGGATGGACAATCTCACCGTATTGCCTCTGGCTGAATGATGTTACATCCACGACAGGTAACTGAAAAACAGAGCGTGATCCAAGTCTTAGCTAGCTGCACCAAAGGCCAGTGGGGAAGTGGCGGCCTAGTGGTTAGGGCATAGGGCTTTGAATCCTGAGGTTGTGAGTTCCCCCCACTCCCACAGACTGCCACTCTGGGTATCTGAGCAAAGACCCTTAGCCCCACACTGCTCCACTGGCGCTGCACAATGGCAGCCCACTGCTCCCCAAGGGGATGGGTTAAATGCAGAGAATTCATTTTGTTGCTCTGTACTTGTGACAGTAGAATGACAATAAATTTGGATTCTATTCTAAAACAACCATGTAGCTGGCTTTGGTCATTATAAACAGAAGAAACAGTTGTTTCTTTATGGCAAATTGTATTTGCATAGCTGGGGGTGTAACGTTACTTAAGCCAACACTAATCAGTATTAATGAAAGACATTATTTAATTTGCATGGTAAGAAGTTAGACTTGCCCTTGTTTCTTTGCTTTTAACCAGAGCTGTTTAGGGTTCTGCTTTAAACCTCAGCTACCATCATTTTTTGTTTGCCAGTGTCAGCAGGTATGGCATAAAAATTCTAATTGTCTGTACTCTGTAGATTTTGCCAAATGACAACAAAACAATATGCTAATTCTTAAGCTCCATGTGTAGTGTCCTTTGCTGGCTTGTATTTATAGTCTCCAGTTGTCGGTTTGGTTTGCTTCCATCTAACTCTGACGTAACTGTGACTTGGACAGAAAAAGGGTGTATACACCCAAGCCGGTTTCATATGGACGTGACCTAAATGCTACCCTATTAACAGAAATAAGGCTTTACAACACATTTACATCATGTGCTACAAACTGTTTCATAGTTTTGAGAAATTCTGTGTGCAATTCTTCTGTCAATTGTTCTTCTAACATGATTAAAAAACATGGAGTCCTCTGATCAAATTATTAAAAAAGAGAGTTAAATATGATAAGGATGTCAAGTTTGTTTTAGAATTAGTTGTTAAGACTTAGACCTGTAAGTGCATGCATGGTTTGAGTATCAGGGCCTTCCTCTGATACTCTATAATGCACCTAATCACTAACAAGTGTGAGTGACAGAGGGGCTGGAACAATAGAATCTGACATACCTGATGGCCTTCACCTGATAAGGCAGGACAAAACTGAAAAATGTTGCTGCAGGGAGATCCATGCACTGATTAGGCCTGCATTCGATTCCTCCGACCGCCGATTCATCAGTGTCCACCAGCACCCGTTTAGAGGGTTCTCCGGTGTCAGCATGGTCACATTGCTGCCGGGACCTCGCCAATCTCTGTCGTGCAGCATCAGTGTCCAAGGGAGCAGCAGCTCACCCTTGGCCCTTTCAAAACACAAACATACACAGCAGAAATGTTCAGCAGAGACATGCCCCCAATCACAGCAACAAATCTGATAGAGTGTGTATACTAACCCTTCCTGATGTTCGGACCACACGTAGGTTCAAATGAGACTAAACACATACACATAACCCAACTCTAGTCCATTCTGAGATATGACCCCCACATGGAGTTCCTTGGTCACCAATCAGGACCACTTTGTCAAAGCACAGGTAACCGTGACGACTCTAATCCCTCGGCAATCGGCCGATCATTCATCACCGCCTTGGGAAGGAGAACAGGAGGAGGGGTAGAGCAGGAGAAGCGGGGAAAGGAGGGGCGGGGAGGGGGTTGACACAGACAGGGGTAGTGGTGCAGACAAATGGCCACCAAAATTCCGTATTAATCAGCAACTGATTTGCTGCCCCTTTAAAGCCAATACCACTTAAAGACTTGAGATAGAAGATAGGGAGGAGCGCAGAGGATGGGAGAATAGTAGAAAGTAGGATCTAAAGATTAAACAACCCCAGAGAAGAAACGGTATGAAAAACAAATAAAGGAGGGAACAAGAAATGGAAGAAAATAAAAGTGGGAAAGTACCCTATTGGAGTCTAGTGTTGCAATAGGGGTTCATGTTGTGACATAGTAAAACGCTGGCTTTGATTCTCTACACATACACAGAAACACACACTAGTAACCCCCCTGTTGATTTGTCACTGGAGTTGATCAATAGCTGTGATGGAAACAGAATCAGCTCAGATGGATTAAACGTCCCAGTGGCTCTGACGTTATTTTCCCATTAAGAGAAGGCTAATCATTACCTCGCACGCACACAACAACAAACACTCACAAACACACACAAGTTACATACATTCATACAAATCCATAGAGCAATGCACACATCCCTGCTTTGCAATGCACTCTCATATCAGTCCAAGCAGCCTTATCAACATGAAAATGACTTTGCACACATAACGGTCCTTGTGTCTGACAACACACAAACACGCACAGATACACACTACGGATCCCCAATTAAGAAAAGCCAAATCCAAACGGCTAACAGTGTGACTGTATCGATCTGAGCCGGCTTCCCTCTACAACAACACAGTGTGCTCTGAAAGAAAACACCACACTTATCACATAAACTGACAAGAAAGTAGGACTTAACACACGGTTCCCTTTTCACCAGGCTGCTGCTATAATCCTGATCAGTGATCAGTCTGAATAATGCAGGTCCTTGTATTGCATAATTTATTGATTAAGAACACATGTAAATCTGCTTTGTTGGTAATTAATTTACATTATAAAACATATAACCCAAATATACGGTAATTAACATCAGGTTATCCTGTCAATTTCATTGCTGCATGCATTCTTCTACTACAAATATTTGTGGAATGATGGGCCACTCTTAGGTGCTCATCATATGACACAGTACCATGCTGGATGTACAGTAAGACACCAATGGACTCTAGAGCAATAAATATATGTTATTTTGAGTGACTGATCATGCCTGTCTGTATGGCAATCCAGTGGACAATTTTGGCTTTTCTGCTGCCTGAATAACATCTCTTTCTTGATAATTTTAGGTCTAAAGTATGGTGCCATATTTTTTGAATTACAGCTGTTTGTCAAAGGTTAGACTCTGTATCCTTAAGTCAGTGAAAAAAGTTTTTATGCCTCAACATACCACAACATTTGGATAGTTTCATTAAAAAAAAGAAAATAAATGTGAGATTTTAAGAGAAGAGAATCTGTGAAAAACACATTGGTGTGAATTTCTACAGCACAAATCAAAGAGGGGCAACAGTGGCAGGGGAGGCAGGGCAATGGCGTGACTATTGGTTGCTTAGGGGCCCTGACTTCTTAGGGGCCCCATCACTGACACCTGGGTGTCCCCCTATGCTAATGTGGACTAGGATGTCTCTTTGCAGATGTAACACATGGCAGATTTCAGCATCATGGTGAGCCGTTTAAACACGACATCAATAGCAAAGCAGACAGGGGTACTTTAAATCACTATGTTAATAACTGTCTATAGTTCATTAGATGGTTGGTAAAAAATACACTCATATAATATGTTTCAATGTGTTTCTATGGGTATTGTACTTCATATGGGGCCCACTCAGATAATATTGTTTACGGTCACTACGCCATTGAGGCAGGGGTTTGTCCTTGCCACCAGAGGGTCTTTGGTTTGAACCCCAGCTCTGTTTGTCTCAGTCTTTCTGACCATGACAATTTTACTATCGGAACATGTTGGACTCTTCTGAATTGGAAAGGCACTACATAAGTGCAGGCTATTTACCATAGGAGTTCAGTGGGGTTCATGTCGAGATGAGTCAGGGTGGTATTAGATTTATGCTTAATCTTTACAAAAAAAAAAGACTGAACTGGAACACTGGAAGGCTAATAAATTAACCTTTTATTCCTAATAGTTAGAGAACCACTGGATGATAACTGAATTATGGTGCAGCATCAACAAGGGGTGAGATATGAGTCCAGAACATTACAGGTACAAAATCATGTTCAAACGCTCATGGTAAATGGAGCTCTATACTACAAAAATACTGAACACAGTAATAAAATCATAACAAATAATAATTGAAGATCCTATAAATGATCTATTATAACTTTTATGGTTTTCAAGTACATCATTGATCAAAGACACTGTGGAGGATGTAAAAACAATTTCTGCAGGCAAAACTGTTTTAGTTTTTTTAATGGATATTATATATATTTTTTAACCTAAGGCATCCTTCCTGTACCAATTAACCATAAACCTCTGTGCCAGAAGGCTGTTTAGCAATGTGTTAAGCACAAGACAGTAAATACTGTGCGTGACCAAGGACGCCAAGGTGAAATGATACATTATACGACGTGTGATGAAGGAAACGACACAAGCCAGAAGAGCAGAGAGAAAGAGAAGGAGAGTGATAGCTCTGCAGGGAGGAAGCGTGAGACCATCTGCTGTTGGCTACCTGCTGCCACCCCCTCCACCCCGCTCCTTCTCTCTGCACCTACCTTCCTTTTTTTTCTCCTCATTTCTCCTGCAGTCTATAAAGATACTGAGTCAGTTAGAGGCAGAGAACCCGTGTATCCACACTAGGGACTCCACAAACACACACATGCCCATACACACAATAGAGCGAACAAGCAAGACGTTTCCAGTTAATTTGCGCCTTTAAATTTCATATTTATTTTTTCCGTCAACCGGGTTTGGTCCATTTCTTCTGTTATCTCTCAAGATACTTGCCGCTTTTCACCCGCATCTCTTTGTCACTAAACACGCAGACATGCAACATACACAAAGACTCAACATCCACACAAAAAACATACACACCTACTGTGAGAGGGCCTCTCTAATGGATTCTGAAGATTCCAATTTCCCCTCTGCCACCAAAGACAGAAAACCCTCTGAGCTCAATTACCCCTGTCTCCCACTCACCAGACGAGACCAGACACGAAGACACACACACACACACACACAAATCTTGGATGCTTCATAGGTTGTAATCATGGATACACACACACACTGGTTCTTGCACACCTTAAACCGCTGTGACATGTCGGGAATCACACAATCAGAGACCCATAGTTGGACTGAGAGGAGTATTAGTCTAAGGTAGATTTCACATGATAGAAGCTAACTGGGGAAGGGAGGGGAAGAAAAATTGACGTGGAGGTCAGGGTACAAAAAAGAAAGGAACAGAAGGTTGAACAAAGAAAGAAGGTAAGACAGGAGGATAGGACAAGGTAGAGAAATATGAGAGCAAACGAGGCTGGAGTGGTGAAAGAAGATGTGAAGGAGATACGAGGGCGAAGCGGTGAGGAGGTGCAGGCCTTGGGCTTTTACACAATCCACTCTTCCAGAAACCTTATTAAATTCTACAATTAGCTGAACGTCTTAGGCTATAAATAGGCTCACTTTTCCCATTCCGTTGTGTCAGTCAGGGAGCCAGACTTCGACTGCAGGGGGAAACAAAACAATTTAAATTATAGCGAGGCTCCCTTTTTGTCTGGCCACCCTTTTAACGGGATAATTACTAGACTATTCATTCGCGCTCGGCCAGGGCGATATATCACCTCAGCGCACCGCGGCCCGGCTCTCAGTGATAAACGTCTTTTACCGGAGAGGAGGAGGAGGAGGGTAGATACTGAGGGCTAACGTGTGCCCGTTGATATCAGTTTACTGTCTGCTGCTGGCGTACACCAAAAGCCCTGTCTGCGTTATTGAATAGCCTCCTGCCAGATTCTGGAGAGCACGAGTCCATGCAAACTTGGTTTTCAGAGTGACACAGGCTCTTTCCCCAGGGCCCCAGCTAAGGAGAAATGAACGAAAAGGAAAGATAGGGAGATTGGAGGGGGGAGTGAAAAGGAACTATAGGAAGCGAAAGACATCTATTATTCAGCACAGCCCCGATCCCTGCATACGCGCGCCATTAAAAATAGGAAATCCATAGCGGAGACAAATGGCTTCTAAATGAAGCTCTACAGGAGGAGAACGGAGATAGGGACCCCTGTCACATGCGTTTTAATTGTCTCCCGAGGCGATAAGGGGATTTATCGAATTCATCGTGCCAGTATAAGGGCTTTTAGGAACTATGACGATGAGTGGCTGCAGAAATAACACAGCACGTGTTTGTTTGTTTTTAAAAAACGTTGAGCAAGATGGGAATGGAGAGCAATTAGACAAACACAAAGCTTGAAGAAGCAAGGGCTCAATATGATATAATTAAAGGGAACATTTATATTTTTTAACATGAGCTAGGATTGAAGTTCGTAATAAATCAATGACGATGTTTTGCCGATTATTTTGATATTTGGTTTTTCTTTTAGCTTAATTTGGCCTGTTGCTTATTTGGAAGCTTCATAGGTCATGTTTTCAAAAACAGAAGTCCAACAGTTTTGGAGCTCTTCCTGGCATTAGTGTTCATTAGTTATTCATTTGACTAGCAAAGGTAAAATCCCCCAGCCTGCTGAGGAACACAGAATATTTGCTAAAAAATTTTGGGGGTATTTTGAAAATGTACAAAAAGGACATGAGAGGGAGAAAAAGCATTTCTCAAGAAGAAAGCACTGAGGGTGAAAAGGCCTTAGAACGGTTTGGCTGATGAGAGATGTCATCAGTCACATACTCGGTTTTGATAAAGGGCATGCCCTAATGATCTCTAAAAATGTTGGCATAAGATATGACAGAAAGCTTGTGCAAAGTATTGTCTAGTTTCAATAAAGAGTCTCAGAACTAGTTGTAGGCAAAGAATAATTCTTGAAATTCCCAATTCAGTGGCTTGTGTCAGCAAAATGCAACGGCTGATCATTATTGTCTGCAGCTGGTTAGAATTGATCATTATTTGCTTTGAGTTAATAAAAGCAAACTTTAAATCTAGCCATTAGTGTAACCGTGTACTGTACTGTAGATGCCTGGAAGTGGCGTCCACCATCAAATCAAGGGGTATGTTGTCGTTTTCATTAGATGCGTTACACTTTATCAGTGATTCTGCTGTGAAGGAAAAGGAACTTGTTATGTTTTTCCAAAGCAGGGAACTTAAGAAATCTAAGAACTTAGTAGACTTTCACTATTCTGATCTACAGGAAGATTCCTACAACCATGTTTTAGAGTCTGGTTGAAGCAAATTTATTCTCCTACGCTGACAACAATACTAACTCAGATGCTTGATTAAAATTTTAAAGGAGGAAAAATATGTTCACATAAAAATATTTTTATTTTAATTTAAATTTTGACTCTGGTTTATCTGCACAGAAAAAGGTCCCAACAAGTATAATCTCAAGGCACCAGGAGGCATACAGGTTTAATTTATATAAAGTGACCTATAGTTAGTTCACTGCAGTCATATAAACTGATTTAAAGTCAGTCTCATATGTCCGAAATCAATCATTGCTTCAAAACTTTGCAGTCCAGTTTTGTGCATTAGGGTAATTTTTTGTCAATAAATGGAAAGACCAGACAATTTAATTGACTCGCTGAGTTTGCAGAACCCAAACTCTGAGTAAAAGGTAAAGGTAAAACAGAAAAACCATCAGCAATGCATTTAGAAAACCATAAGCTCTATATACACTACCCTTTTAAAACTGTGCCAAGATCGGTCCAAAAATGGTAACAGAGATAACTGTTGAGTGTAAATGGCACGCACCACTGAACCGGACCGCGC